TAACTCTGTCACCCCCCAAACATACACGCTGTCATCTTCATTCTGTCACCCCCCAAACATACACGCTGTCATCTTAACTCTGTCCCCCCCCAAACATACACGCTGTCATCTTCATTCTGTCACCCCCCAAACATACACGCTGTCATCTTCATTCTGTCACCCTCCAAACATACACGCTGTCATCTTAACTCTGTCACCCCCACCCAAATATAACTGTTATATTCACTCTGTCACCCACCAGTGCCCATGTATGTCCTTTCTTTTCTTTAGTCCAGAACATTCTCTTGCATTTACTGGCTTCCTAAGTGCAGCTGGTTTGTAAAAGTTTAATTGTGTGACAGAACAAGTGAAGTATACGCCCATCAGAGTGCTGGAGCTCAGTCTCCTCTGTGTCGCACTGGGATCCTATAGCTGCCACGTTTCCATCCGAACCAAGTGCATTTTGTGCAGTTTTTGGGTGACTTGAGGGGGCCAGAGTATCTGTATGGATCTGAAGGTAAGTTTGCAATAACATTGTGGTAATATGGGCGCCCCATCTCTCGCCATCGCATCTCCCATCACATCGGGCATCGCGCTACATCAGAACATAAACAGACTTGCTGTGCCTTTGATGAATTCTATTGTCCTCTTTTGTAGATGTACCTGATTTTCTATGCCCTCTGCACGCTGGCTTCCGCAGTGGAGATACCAGGCTGCACAAGCTGTCTGTCGCTTGATATTATTTTATCTTGTTGCTTCGTCGACACATTTATGGAAACCTTCACCACAGCTTGCAGTGTTACATTCTTATCTCGCTTGTGTTGCTGATATTTCCCCTTCTCCCCTGTAGCGTCTAGCTGGGTCACTAGTTTGACAGGATAGTTTATCTGTAGCGTCTAACTGGGAGGCTATTTTCTACCGGGTTGACTTTGCTGTAATCTTGGCCCTGACTGTTAGCACAGTGCTGTAGCTCTCCAGCTCAGTGCGCTCCGCGGCTGACCCTGGCTCTAAAGATGAATGCTGGATCTGGTCCCAGCGCTGCCTGAGATAAGGCTCATTTCATGTTTTAGCAGGAGATTTATGCAGCAAGTGGGAGCCGATTGAGTCCTCGTGTTTTACTGTGATAGGAGACAGACGGAGTTTGGAGAAAATGTCAGCTAACACCTGGAACTTAGAAAATTGGAGAGAGAGAGAAACAGGTGTAATTCTATCATTAAACCACAAGGGGCACCATCCGTAGGCTTGAGTCTATACCTTGGGGTTGCAGATCCATGAAGGATTTTACTGTTGCAGTTGTCTAGGCTCCTTTTGTTGTATTTCAACTATATTTACTTCAACTACCTTGTATTAATGCTAGTAATTATTTCATTGTTCATTAGTGCTGTATTGTTCCTACCAGCATAACATTTTTAAATTTGGACCATACTGAAGGGTTCTTAATGTCCTTTTACCCTTGTTGCTATCAGACTCTCAGCAAGAAGCCTCCAGCACGCTGGTTTTTTTTCTCATCTAATTTACTGAAACACAGCACATAAACTCAATAATCTCTGGAACATTCAACAGACGTCCTTCAAACACTTCGTTATGCAAACTTGTTTTCTATATTTTTTCTTGTTCCGTTTTTCATGAGTAACGATTGAATGTTTAAAGAACACATAATTAAGGACATTTACTCATAATTCGTATACGGTGAGCATGTTGCAGGCGGGGGTCTTTCTGCCTGTCTTCTAGCGGGGGTCACGCGAACACCTACGATTCCACTGTCTTATCCTCTGACATCGTCAGCCTGCGATAACACCAGGTATCCATTGGAGGATTTAAGTTCCTGAAACAGACGCATTGGAAGTCTTCCCAACAATCAGGGTCACACTGTTCCAGGAAGGATGTGGCATGCAGCCCTGAGCAGAATGCCAGGCCATAGCAGGGCACACAAATGTACACTTTCTGCTTTAAAACCAACTGCTGTCAGCTAAGCTCAAAAAATGAAATGGTGGATATTCTATATGTGTACCACCTCCCTCTGTTTCTGCCTCCGGTTCTATACACATACCACCTCCCTCTGTTTCTGCCTCCGGTTCTATACACATACCACCTCCCTCTGTTTCTGCCTCCGGTTCTATACACATACCACCTCCCTCTGTTTCTGCCTCCGGTTCTATACACATACCACCACCTTCTGTTTCTGTCCCTGGTTTTGTATGGGTACCTCCTCCCTCTGTTTCTCTCCCTGGTTTTGTATGGGTACCTCCTCCCTCTGTTTCTCTCCCTGGTTTTGTATTAGTAGCTCCTCCTCCCTCTGTTTCTCTCCCTGGTTCTATGCGTGCGTCTCCCCCCTTCGTTTCTCTCCCCGGTTCTTAGTGTGTGCCACCTGTCATCTGTGTGGACCGACTCACTGCCTGCACCACATGGTACTAATGGCAGGTGCTGCCTCTTATCTGTTCCCATGACGTGCCCCGCAGGCCTTTTCCAGCTGTGACCTCTGAGCTCTGACCCAGTCAAATGGAGCATGGGGGAGAGCAGTCTCAGTCTGCTTTCCCTGTTCACCCCCCCCCCCCAGGTAATGTGTGAATGCACCAATCCAAACACAAGCAGCCTCTGAAAGGTGCCCTGACTCTGTGTGTGCTGAAGAAGGGAATGTTTGAGTGTGGATGTGCATTTTGACCGAGGCGCCTTTGCACAGTGAATATAAAATTGTACTCAGCATATCATTAAGTGAGCCAACAGTTATGATTTTTCTCATTTTTGAACATACGTGCATAATAAACAGATCACTCACGGATACTCAGACTCACCCCTGCGCTTCGTCAAGAAGCTGTATTTGCCTGAGGTCTGTTCTCCCCCCAGTAAGGGTCATATGGTGGACAGTAATCGCTCCACTGCAGGTAAGCTGGTGGCAGGGAGCATGCCCAGTGCCTTTAAACCAGGCTGCATAACCAGGGTCCGCATAGCTACCATTACTATGTAGAAGTGTAATGTCAAAATGGTGGAAAACGAGTTACAAGGAATCCTGTCTTGATACCTGTGTATGTGTGTGCCATACTGTATACCGCAGGAATGGTTAGCCTGATCCAGGGGAGCTGTGGGTGCCGGTGTTTGGGATGACCTCTGAATGACCTTGAGAGGTCATCCCAAAAACCCTCACTGGCCTTGCATGGGTCAGCACCCCCCCACTTGAAATATAACTAACACATGACAGTATTTTGGTCCAAAAAAAAAACCAAACAGGCTTCAGTTCTCCACAAGGCTAGTTTTATTCTTTATATTTATTTAAATATAAAGATTTAAATTAAAATATCAACATTTAGAGGTCACTTCATTTGACTGTTTTTTTGTCATCAGAACTAAATAGCAGACAACTGTCCTACACTTGTAGGTCTAAAACTTTATCGCTGTCTTTGAAGGAGCTGGAAAATTCTTGTGATGGTGAATGAGCAGTCAAAGAAGAAACTGTTCCTGCTTCTCGCGATAAGGCTCGACTAATTACAGCACGTCGGGTCCACGTGGTCTTCTTTTGGATAACTGATTGGTTGGCTTTCCTATCAACCAGTGTTCTGGGTCTTAAACTAAATGAAAACACATTTGTTCGATGATTCCTTTATTAAAGTAGCACACTGTTAGTGCTATGTGCATCTGCTTGTCACTTGTGAAGTTTTCAGCACTTCATATAGCCAATCTTCATATAGCCAATCTTCATATAGCCAATCTTCATATAGCCAATCTTCATATAGCCACTTCCAAAGATTTCTGTATAGATCATGTATGAACTAGAAATAGTACCATGTTCTCCATTTCATAATTCTTTTTATTGATTGCGAAGCACTTAGCCAGTTAAGAACCCAGAGCAAGAGTATGTACGTAATAACAATACAAACAAAATGTACAGAATGGAGCAATTTCTAAATGCTTCATAATCAGAAATTGCACAGGTAGGCAAGATATCCCTAATGGACCAGAATAAGCCTTACGGAGAAGTGATTCTACAATCATCATCTCTTTGCCTTGGTTTGTGGACCACCCTAGCGTGGTATGTTAATGAGGAGGGAGATCTCAACATGCTTTCGAGAAGGAGAGAGGAAATGGTTGTATTAGGAGGCAGCAGCACAGGGGGATCAGCAGGCCGTGGGGCCTTTCCAGTAGACGTTCCTGCAGCCGGGTTTTCTCTGGCGGCTGCCCGGGGTGCTGGAGTTGCTGGCCGACCGCCGTGCGTCCGGATGCACGGATTCACCGAACTGCGCCGGCCATAGGAGTTCCCCGACGAGCCGTCTGCCCCAATCCTGCAGCGTGAGGATGTCAGATGGGCTGCGTCACATGCGCAGACACAGACACATATACACGGTGCCTTCCCATTGGCTGAATGATTTTTAACTCCTCCCACACATATACACTGATACCGAAGTGTCTGAGGCACAAAAAATAACATGCCTTTTTTTTTTGCGATGTTTATGAAATAGTAACGATTGCTAAACCTGCACATATTATGTGAAGTAGCGACATTGTTGACACACCACAACAAAATGTGTCCTCTGTATTTAACACATATGTGACATCATAGCAAGCAGCTATTATTTAGCACCTGGGGAAGCATGGCCTTGATCAGGGTACCTTGTTGATCAGGGATCTGAACCAGCAACCTTCTGATCATAAGCAGACTTCCCTAACTATTAGGACACCACAGCTAAATGGTTGAATTACATGAAGGTACGTGTACACACGGTCACGCACGGCCATCCACGGCGATGCTGCCCTACCTGTGGAGCCCTCGCGGCGGTCTGGGCTTCGGGGAAGATGTCCTGGGGCGGCAAGCCTGGCTGGCTGGCAGAGCCGCAGATGCAGAGGGTCAGGAGCAGGAGGGGCCCCAGGAGGCAGGTGGCACGCTGGAGCTGCATTCTGGAAAGCGGAGCTCAGAGGAGGCGACGGCTCAGTGGTGGGGGTCCCTTAGTGGAGACGGGAACTACAGCCCTTTTAACTTCACCATGGGGCCCCCCGCGCTGATGTCATACTGCACTTAGAGACCTGGGGACGTCATGCTCCCTCGCAGCCATCCAAAGGCCAAGCACACGGTTTACTGACTTTAAACGCAGTAAATTAATTAACCTGTTTAGATATGATCCCTAATGACATGCAACTGAAAAATGTGTGCACCTCAACACCGGTTACTCAGAGGGAAGATCCAGAGACAGCCAGGGGAGACCAGGCGAGGAAGTTACTCTAGTGTGTTACTTCATTATTTATTCTCCTAATGGATTCCCCAAAATAGAAATGGTTTCATGATGGACTAGATGTGGGGGGCAGATAACATGGAAACTGACGGTCATTTAGTGGGGTCTTGTGCTATGGTGTTGCCAAATGCGACATCAGCTGACGTCAAACGTAGGGCAGCGCTGGCCTGTTCTGTGCTCTGATGGCTGGATGCTAATATGTTTGCTGGCTCTGTGGCCTGATGTTTGGGGGCAGTGAAGCTGGATCTGGGGGGGGGGTATGTCCCCTACTTGGCCGTTCATGCCAGTGCCCGTCTGTCTGTCATGGGGAAAACAGCTTATTATTGTGAAATTAAGTCATAGGTTACAAAACCGCTAACAGCATTCAGTTTAACCGCTTTATTTTGAATATCAAAATAAAGTTTTCAATATGAATAAATCAATAAATCATAAATGTTTTCAGTAGTGACTAGCATAAAATGACTAAAGTGAAAATTAATAGTAAAATCATATTTTTAATTCATTCAGGTAGGCCATCAGTATCTATCAGCGCGGTAGGATCTTCTCTGTGATTGGCTTGTTCAGTGGTTCAGTCTCTTCATGTGACAAGGTGATGAACAGGCTGTTTCCTGCAGACATTACAGCGGCTAATGATGTTCTTCAGGAAGGGCTCCTTAAGTGTCTGAGACTCTGGTTTTCTGTAGAAGGATACACAGTGCTGTTTTGGTATCTGTCTGTGAGCGCTACCAGCTAAAATGCCTCCATGATATGCCACATAAATGAAAGCAACATCAAGTATAATTACCTGGGATATTTGGTTGAAAATTGACTTTACTCATTTACTGTACAGTACCTTGCAAAAAATCTTATGCTGCCAAAGAAAGTGATGTTTAAATAATCTTCATGTTGGTGTAAAACTATGCTTTTACACCTGTCAAAGTGTAATAGCTTACCCATTTCAAAACTTCTGCTAAAATCACCCCAGTATTTGCAGCAACCATCCAATACAGCCGTGTGTTTTTTGACTCAACAACCAGCACAGCTCGCATAGCTAATCAATATCTCATTTTTTAACTTTCTAACTAATTAAATTAATGAATTGAACTGGAGGTGAAGCTGAATAGATACATGGAATGGCTGCGGTGCCCCTGAGGAACTGAAGCGATGTTCATCTAGCCATCCAACAAGATATCAGTAACTTTTTGGAGAACAGAAGAAATTCTTACTAGTCTTTATAGTGTTATTTTCAATTTGCATATCTTGTTCTGAGCAAAAGTACATGTAGTACCCAGATAAATGGCTTCAAATATTTCTTTTGACTGCCTAAGACTTTTGCACAGGTCTGTATATGCAGGCTATTATCTAAAATCAGTTTAACATAAAATGAAGCCATAGATACCAAGACAGAAAAATAGATACAAAAGCAGTCATCTTGGCAGCATAGAGGGAAGCTCCAGACAACACTGAAGACAATCAGCAATTATATTTACTTGAACATGTGGGAGGGGCCAAGAGAGGCCAGCCAATAGCTGGAGGAGTCGGTGTCGTAGTCACAGGTCCCGCGTCCATGGCATTCGATGAAGGGGACCCTACGAAATTGCTCCAGACAGGACCCAGCGGAGCCAAGAGGCTGGCCAGAACCTTCTGCGCCTGCAGCAGTTTGCTGTGGGCATGATGAGGAGAAAGGCAGGTGAACCACATTCACATGGTGTTAGTTCCTACTAAGCAGCCCATCTAAATGGTCTCATTTCCTACCATGGCGAAGGAGTACCCAGTCCACAGGGAGAGCCAGCCGGGTGGACAATCTGGGACGTAAGTGTTTTGGCTGTGGACGGTCATGACATATGTGCTGGATTCACAAACTGAGCACCTGAAAGGCAAACAACACAACTAGCCCAGGTAATACCTGTACAAGCCATCCCACACCATCCAGTGTGCTGATACTGCTAGGTCTTCATCAGGGGCATTGTGCAAAGCAAATTTGTGAGTAGGCACCATTTCAAAACCACTCAAAAGACAGGAATAGGATGGGGGAGGGGATTAAGAGATGTGATCTGATGGAGGAAACTCGCTTATTGGCCAGATTATCCTGACTGCAAGTTTATTGCAAGTTTAATGATGTGTTGTCCACAGTCAATATAGGCACATTATTGGTTGACTGAATAATATGTTACATTTTTACAAAATATTGGCACGTGTCTACCTAAATTTATTGGCACAACGCCACTGGTCTTCATGGTGGCCAGAAGCTCTGTGAGGGCAGTGTTTGCCTTTACCTGCTAATGAATCTGGTCAGTAGGTCGCCTGAAATGGGCTCCCTGTTTTTGGGCGTGACCTCATCGGTGGACAGCCAATAGGAGTAGTCATTGCGGGAGGCATACTGACAGGTCTTGTTTATGTCACAGAAGAGGAAGGGCATGGGGGAGAAACGAGGAAGGCAGCTTCCCATGGTTCCTGAAGGTCAGCAGCATATAGAGACGTCATGAGTTTGAGACTCTTGAGTTAAGGATTCTTTTGTTGAACTCTTGTATGTCTTAATGAGTGTTTAAGACGTGTCTGCATTCGTGTGTGAGCCATACCCAGATCTTGGCCGTGGCCTTGCTCATTGGCGTTGATGAAGAGCAGGGAGTACCCAGAACTGAGGGCTGTGGTGCCTGAGGGGCAGCTTGGTATCTGCAGCCCCTGGCTATGCCTTGTGAAGAGGAAGCTGTTACCAGTAGCACTGAAACTGCCACCCCCAGGGGGGCCTGGCCTGCCCTTATGTCCTGGGGGCCCTGGATACCCTTGTGGCCCTGTGGTGAGGGGGGGGGAGGGAGATGAGAGGGTAGTAACACCATTGGTTGGAGTCTGATTAGGTCAGGGGCCTCATAGGTCAGACGTATGTAGGTGTGACTTTGTTTCCACCCCACCTGGTGGTCCAGGAAGCCCCTCTTCTCCTTTACGCCCAGCAAAGCCTGGCAGACCTGGGTCCCCGAAACCACGGGGGCCTTCGGGGCCAGGATGACCTAGGAATTCAAGTAACATCCCAAGTCAAATTCTCATGTTTCCAAGTTTTACTGTCATTTGTACATACAGTACCTTGAGCTTTCTGCCTGTCTGCTGTCTTCAGACTATTTCCAATAAATACCAAAGAATAATAACAAGATCTAACGATAAGAAAATCCAAAATAACAGCGCTGCAGGCAAGCTCCCCTCATCTGAATGTAGGGGTAGGATCGGGGAATAAAGTATCAAAGTGCATTACACTTGTTGAGGAGTCTAATTTTCTATAAAAACTATTCCTGAATTGTGCTCTTAGTGCTGAACACCTTATACCATCTTCCAGATGGGAGGGGGGAGGAAAGCGACTGCAGTCCTGCCTGATGATAACAGTACCAAGGGAGAAGTTAAAGATGCCATCAAAAGCAAGACTTCCTCTACCTGGAGGTCCAGGTGGTCCCGGTGAGCCTGGGAGACCAAGAGGTCCTGGATCTCCAGGGCGTCCCAATGGCCCTGGATCCCCTCTGATCCCATTGTGGCACGGACCTGAGCCTATCAGAGGATACAGTCTGGTTAATGTTCAGTGGATACAGTCTAGTTAATGTTCAGAGGATACAGTCTGGTTAATGTTCAGTGCATAGTCATTCTGGCACAGTTGCTCCATAGCTACACACCAGTTTTCTGTAAGATGGAGTCTGCATTTCCATTAGGATTGTTTTAGATGTGATACTGGTAAAATACGATGGCAAATATTCCTGTTTAAAAAATGATGCATTTTAATTGTTTACTACAGGAATTCTTTACTTAAGGGGATGCAAATATTAATATACATGAAAATAACTAACCACTATTTGACCACTTTTTAAATTAATCACCATTAAAGGTATTAAATTATTATTAAATTAAGCACTATTACAATTAACATAGATACTGATGGTGAAATAACTTGGACTGATTATGACTTGACATGACTTGCTTGAATAACGTCTCTGACTTGCCTTGATTTGCTTACTCTAAAAAAGCATGACTTGAGACTTGAGTCTTGACTGGAAGCTTAAAGAATGGGTAGGACTTTTTTGTAACTTGTGTACATGTGACTTATGGCCATGTCTGCTTCACCCCCTACATCACCGTAGTGTTCAGTGCACTACAGTGTTCAGTTCTGGATGTTATGTACTAATGACTGGTCCTACCTGGCGGTCCTGGTGGACCCTTTGTCCCTGGCTCTCCTTTTGGACCAGGATAAGTTCCTGTCTCTCCATCGTCACCTGAAGCAGTGCAATATTTTTTATGTTATGTTTTGCTATTGACTGCGACTGCAATAACCTACAACATCATATGTTTTCACCATGATATTATAACAACAGCCAAACCAAAGTGCCCAGCGGTGAAGGTGTTCAGCATGTTCTTGTACCGGCTGGTCCGCGGGCGCCAGGAAATCCTTGATCACCTCTTGAACCCTTTTCCCCGGGGAATCCCGGAGGTCCCTGAGGGCCCGCACCTTCATTAACGTGATGAGCCGACAAGCCAAAACATAATGACCACTATCCCGTAAAAACGGTGCATGTCAAAGGCAGAGACAGTAAGCTTACATTCGCTACTTGTAGTTTACATGTTGGTAGCAGAAGAAATGGGCAGGGATAAAGATCTGGGTGACTTTGACAAGGACCAAATCATTGTGGCCAGACTGCGTTTCAGAATCTCTGAAACAGCAAGGCTTGTGGGGAGGTCATGGTCGGCCGTGGCGATCATAATGTTTCGACTCATCAGTATATATAGAGTATATATATTATGTGCATAAACACGCTAAACATTTACGCATGATTATTACAATACTGTATATGTATATGAAGATGCCCCACAGTGTTCGGTCGTGTCACTCACCAGTCTGCCTGGATGACCTGCATCTCCCTGACTCCCAGGAAGCCCCTTAGAACCCAGAAGTCCTGGGTCCCCTTTGTCTCCTTTATTTCCAGGAAATGGTGGACCTGGGGGCCCCCGAGGACCTGAGGGACCTGTAGCCCGAGAGATATACATTACCAGTCAAAAGTTTGGACACGCCAAGCTGCCTACAAAGGAGAGTGATAGCGTGTCGCATCACATGACCTGGTCACCTGACCTAAAAAGAGTAGAAATGGTTTTGGAGGTGTTAAAGGAAGAGCGACCAATGAGTGCTCAGCATATATGGGACCTCCTTCAGGAGAGCAGGAAAAGCATCCCAGGAGGTGACCTCGCAAGACGGGCGTAGAGGAGACAGTAGGGTCAGCCTGTCCCTGGAGCAGTCAAGGTTAAGGGCTTTGCTCAAGGTCCCAATAATGGGATCACTTTGGCGACCCAGGGATTTGAACTGGCAACCTTCTCAGACCCAACCAACAGAGCACCCCCCCAACAAATAATAATTTTTTTGTTTAATATTTTTTTTTCGTAAATGTCATATAGTTTTGAAATCTTTATTCAGAAATGTAGATGATACTACAAATAAACTTTTCTAGGTGTCCAAACTTTTGACTGGTACTGTAGGTAAATACAAAAACAGGTGGAAATTTACACAAGCGAGTACTAGACAGGTAAGGAATCGGCTGAGTGTATCTTACCTGGCCTTCCAGGACTGCCATTTTGACCTGGTTCTCCTTTCCCTCCAGGGATGCAGATACTATCAGGCCCAGGGGAACCTGGTGGCCCACGTAGTCCATTTGGACCCGGGGGCCCAGGATCCCCAGGGCAGCCTGGAGATCCAAAGCTCGGAGGACCAGGTGGTCCTGGTTCTCCTGGTTCACCTGGAGAGGAAAGTTACAACCAGTCAGCCAGGGAAGCTCACAGACCGTCTGCCTCTTACCAGTGCACCTCATACAGGAGTCAGATTGGAGACCGAAAGTGAGGACTGAATTGACTCTGAGAACATTGGAAAGTCCAATTAGCTGGAGCAGAAGCCTGGACTCCATAGAACTGCACCTCCTACCCCACAAGCACTGCCACTCTGATTTATACATTGGTTACCTCCCACATTGATCATTGTAATTCTTTCCTATCTTGTCTTCCACATAAGCTTCTTCACAAACTTAAGCTTTTGCAGAATTCAGCTGCTTGTTTTGTAAAGTCCCGTCCACACAACACATAACTCCCATTCTTCAATGGCTTCACTGTTAAATTTCATATTGATTTCAAAATTCTTCTCCTCACCTCCAAAGCTCTTCAGAACCTCGCTCCACCCTATCTCTCAGATCTCATACCTCCCTACACCTCCTCTCGCACTCTTAGGTCTTCAGTATCTGTTTTTTTGTCACACCCCCTGCCTGCTTGGTCACCATGGGTTCCAGGGATTTTAGTCGTGTTGCTCAACGTCTCTGGAAACTCTCTACCAAAAGATATCTAGAACATTGATTCTCTATACATATTCAAATCCCGGTTAATAACTCACTTATTTAGAACTGCACGTTCCATGTGATTTTGGGCTGCACTCCAATCAAGTACAACTGTATAGCCTTTAAAACGATCCATTATGCAGGCTGTGTTATCTATTTGTGGTTTTATTTTTTGTCGTCTACTATCTGCATGTAACTATTAAAGATTTTGGGCCCCATGAAAGCATATTATTTTGGGCCCCCAACCCAGATGAATCGGATTATGTTCCAAATTTTTTAAGGCCACAGTCACTCAGGGGCCCCTGGAATGACCCAAACTTTCCCCCGTTTACGGCACCAATGCTGCTACTTATTGCTATTGTACAGTGACCTTGATTAACCTGAAAGGCACCTATAAATAAAATGCATTATTATTATTATAATAGAAATCCACCTTTACCATCTGCTTGCATGAGCTGCTACTTGCCTGGCTTTCCCGGTGGCCCCAGCCTCCGTATACCGTAGAAACCTCTGCCTGTGGGGAGAGCACAGAGTAAGGCAGAGGCTTTGAGCTCCACAGGCTGGAGCTTCAGCGGTGCTGGGGGTGGCACAGGTTTGCCTTCACCGCTTTTGGCTTCTCTTTTGACTGACGTAGCACCACAGCATGTTTGATGGAAAAATTCAGTTTGCTCTCGAGGTAAAGTTTCAACACAGCATTCGATTGTCTATTCAGTCACTTTCGTTGCTCACAGAGCACATCGACGTTCACTTGAGCTACTTAAAATTTGAAACTAAAGGAACCTTGATGATAGTCCTGCCCTGGATGGCTGCTATTACCACTTTTCCATAGATCTCAGGAAAGGAATTAAAGTAGATGACCTGTGTCTCCTTTTGGTCCCGGTGGCCCTGGTACCCCATCACGTCCCTGACTTCCCTTCATTCCAGGAGGGCCTGGGACTCCAGGAATGCCAGGTTGTCCTTGATCATGATGCAGAGTTTAGACAGACTGTCAGCCTGCTATACTTTACCTCATTCCTCCAGATCCCATTATTGAAATGCACCTTAATGATGCATCAGAAAGCCTTATATATTGCTTGATATTAAAAATTGATATTAATGATTTCATCGCCTATATTTAGTGATACACAATAACACAGTTGGAAGTTTCAGGTCCAGAAAATAAAAATCCAGACCAAGATTTTGTTTCAACTCATCAGTTGAGTATAATGAATCACAGTCACCGAGTACTCAATTGGTTGATTGGAACAAAATCTTAGTTTGGATTTTTATTTTCCACGTTTGTTTAATAACATGTTATTTATACAAAGAAGCAGATATTGTTCAGCTTGGCTGTAAATGCGTTTTTAAGTGTATGAACTGTAAGGATGAGTTTCCCAACCTGAAGATTCATATTGCCCTGTAGGGCCTGGAAGACCAGTAGGACCAGTAGGACCATCTGAGCCATTTTGTCCAGGGAGGCCTGGCAATCCTGCACAGAGGGTGGGATTTAGGGGAGGACCTTAAGTGATCCTGACAACTACTCTCATGGTGTTTGTTATATGCAGGATAATAGGATTTTGACCATTATTAGAACTTTGTCTCAGCAGTAAACAAAGAGGAAGGAGGGGAAACCTTTATCTCCAGCTGGTCCCACATTCCCTGCATCTCCAGGTCTCCCTGGAACTCCAGGAGGTCCCAGGCTCCCAGCATTTCCCTTGGACCCCTTGGTTCTTGAGGTACTGGGGAGTCCCGGCTCTCCCTTTCCAGCAAAAGTGGGGTGTGTTGGGGGAGGGGGGGAACCACGTCATTCTCATCAGCATCAATACTGTTATCATTACAAACATTGTCACTAGGCTCATTAACATCATCTCCACTATCAGTATCATTACCACCACAACGATGATGAAGATTGAGGGTGCTGATTATACATCATAATTATAAATAGCATAATCATCATGGCTAATATTGTTACTATCATCATCATCACCACGATCATGGTGGCTGTCACAGATCACAGTCAAATTCTGAAAAGGGTTTGGAGTTTCTCAGACAAATTCGTTCTTGCTGTTGTTGATGAATATGTTTAGTGCCTGTGTTTTCAATATGACCTTTATAGCCTTGGCAATCAGTCTTGAAGGTCGGCGTACCTTTGGTCCACGTGGTCCTGCTGGACCAGGTCTTGCATAGCCAGGTTCTCCTCTGTCTCCTTTTGCACCTGATGTGCCAGGTTCCCCCGATGGACCAGGATATCCAGGGTTCCCCGTCCCCCCCTTCATGCCTGGTGGACCTGGGAGATGGGGTTCCTGTAAGCCTGAGGTATATGTTTGTGTGTGGGTGTGTGTGTGACACTCACCTGGTACGCCCATATAGCCTGGAGCTCCAGAGAGACCAACACTGCCTGGACTTCCCGGAACACCTTTGGCACCTGGATCACCTCTGAGTCCTGAATACATGCATCCCCAATACAGTCAACATTTATCCACACACAGGTTTCAATATCATTGTCGGGACTTGACACTGACTCTTAGTTCCAAAGAAATCACGAGCATGTCCATGTGACTCTTTACTGTAGAAGCAATACGCCCATTATTCTCTGTTTAATGATAGGAGTAGTCATCTAATTGAACAATGAGAAGTCAGAAAAAGGTTTGCATCAGATACGGCTGTCAAGCTAAATTACAGTGTTTTTGTTTGCACAAGTTAAAACTTGCATTCATGATGGTCGCTTATAGGGATAACTTTACATCATGTACTATCAGCTTGACGCTGATAGCCAGTAAAACAGTAAGACAAAGTTTTGATTATATCCATACATTTAAACTAGCTGTCGATAACCTACCAAGTTCTTTGAATATAGCGAACAGGGAGATTGGAAAACATTGGAAAACATGTTAAGAAAATCACGTAATTCCACGTTCCCTGATAACAAACCTCATAAATCCATTGAAAACATTAAACCGTTCACTGATGGCTGTGTAAGGATGTTTTCTAATAATGGATGTGCAACGACGTTGATGTTTTAGAAGACTAACACAGACACACACACACACACACACACACACACACAGAGTCTCACAAACACACATGCATTCAGATAATAGTATCTGTTTATGTGTGTACTTTGGGGGGAGGGGGCCATACCTGGAGACACTCTTCCTGGGGCCCCATCCTTTCCTTTGGGCCCTTGGATCCCTGGTATTCCTGGATCCCCCTTTGGTCCAGTAGCATCCACGGGTCCTATCAGAAATCCAAAACTCAGCATACAACACATCACCCAAAGGCAGCATCCTACCCGTGGTCTTTACATTCTGACCTGGAGGTCCAGCGTCCCCTGGGGGCCCAGTGGATGGACGACCTGGGGGTCCAGGAGAACCAGGATCCCCATCTGGGCCAACTGCACCGTTGGAACCTTTATGACCACTAAAGCCTGAAGATCCTGTCAGGAATAACAAACTTCATAATCATCATTATTTTCTGTGTATAAATGAATATACAGTAAAGGTCTTAGGGAGCCACAGAAAATGATGTTTAAATGATCTTCAAGACTGGGATACTATGTATGTCCAAGCATGGCAGCTTAGCCATTTCAAAACCTCTATAAAAGTTACTCCAGTATTTGCAGCAAGTGTCTTTTGACTCAAGCTTTCAAGCACCACACTATGCTTGGCTTATAAATATCTCATTGAGTTATTTAACTGATTAAGTTGATTAATTAAGAGAACTGGTGGAAAAACTGGACAAATATACTGAACGGCTGAAATGCCCCTGAAGACAGCTTTAGGAACTAAAGCGGTGTTCATCTAGCTATCCAACCAGGATTCAGTAACCACAAAACATCCCCCCAAAAAACTAAACAATTAACATTAAAAGACTGAGTAACAGTCAAAAATAATACAGTTATTTAGAAAATGTGATTTTTTTTTATTATACTGTACATAATTTTTATATGGCAAAATTTTTTATGTACATTTCGTGATGCCACGTGTTGTATGGCGATGAACTTCTTTGTACTGTAAACACAACTGTTTGCTGTACTGTTGCTACTATGTGTGAATGGAGAATATAAGACTTAAATAGGAGTTACTTTATAATTTATGTTATTAATTAAGTACTGTAATTTTATGTGTGACCGGTAGTATGTTGAGGCGAGTTGCCGCTCCCCTGTTGGTCGCATGCAAACTTAGATCACTGGGGTGTGGCTCTCTACCGGTGCAGTTTTTTTAGTTTAATTAAAAGACATCCGGGTCTTTAGACATCCGGCTATTAAAACACATGGTTATGCGGTTAGTTGGTGTACCGTTCGTTGTCGTAAGGGTTATGCCCAGACTGGCATAGGCAAGTGTTTCGGTGCCAACTTGTGTTAACTAAAGCGGAGGTATTTGCGAGGTTTGCGGGTGAAAGGTAGGAGACAAATGGTTTCGTTTGTTGTTATTTTATATGAAGCAGTCCCTTAATTCCTGCATGTTTTGTAGGTATTAATTGAGTACGGGCGTTCGAGTATGGAGCGTCATGGGGGGAGAGCGAATCTTGATCGTCCGGATTGGGTAAAGTACATATGTGTAGATGTGTGACTGTTAAAAACCATCACAAACATGTTTATCAATCACTGAAAGGTACCGCTATAACGGAACGTTCT